AGTCTCACATTTTGATTCTATTTATCATTATTCAAATATTTAATAAGTTTTTATAATCTTTAATAAATTTTAAATAGATATGAGCTTATAAATCTTTAATAAATTCTTTTATAGTATTTTTAGATTGAGGAAAATAAAATGGAGGAGAAGAAAGGATTTTTTTATCAATTTTATTACAATATTTAAAAATATTAAAATTTAATTTATTAGAAATCTTTTCCTTCTCCTTCTCTCTTTTTCCTTTAATCTAAACATACAATCATATCACACATAACATTTCAAATAAAATGCTCCAACTAATAATTCATTTTAGGAAAATTCTTATTCATGAAGTAGAAGCCCATTAACTTTAATTATATCTATCCTTTTACCAATGACCTCTTGGTCTAAATACAGGAAATTTATTTTCTTTTATCTAAAATTTTAAGTTTAAATTTTATAAATAAAAAAAATATTAAGAAAGTTTTTTCATTTATAAGATATAACTCAACTTAATTTTAAATTAATTAGAATTTAATATAATTTTTAAATGCTAGATGATTTAGTTTTAAAAAAAAATTATTCTAACACTTTTAATAGACTTGTGTTACATTGATGTTCACCTTTTACCCTTTCTTTATACGTTCTAGGTAAAACAGAGTTTTCGACTGTTCTTCTCTCCCTTGTTAAAACCCATGTCTAATGCATTCCTTGGAAGGAATAAACCAACGGCGGAGATAACACCCAGGCCACTAAAATATTGAAAAAATATATATACTTATTAAATAATATTTATTAGTCTTTAATAATAAATTTTTTATACAGTATTTTTAACGCTAATTAATTAATAACAATTGATAATGTACTATAAAAACTATTAATTAAAAGATAAATATATATATTAAATAAAATAATATATACTATTAACAAAGAAGAAGGAAGTAAAGATACTAATTAATAAATATTTCATAAAAAATAATAATAAATAATTTTTATTCAATTAATTTTTACTTTTTCTCATATTTTATATTATCTTTATATTTTCAATTTTTCTCTTTATCATCAAAAGTAATCTTCAATAACATAAATACTAAAAATTGATTAAAATGGTATGAAATAAGAAAGAATAAAAATAATAAAAATAAAACGTAAGGTACCAAAGTAAATTTTTTTACAAAAGTTTAGGGGGAGCCTGTGCCCCCACAGAACCCCCTTCGCTCTGCCGGTGCCTGCCACTATATTTAATCTTTCTAGGTAATTAACTCTACTTAATTACTTTTTTTTTTCTTTCATCCAAATTATTCTTCAATTAACATTAAGTTTTTTGACTTCTAAACTTAGTATACAATAATACAATCTCTCATTATTATTATTATTATTTTGTCGAGGGTCTCTTTTCAATTAGGTTCTTAAATTTCCTTGTAGATTACAACTTTTTTGCAATGCTTAATGTCTTTGAAAAATCAAAAACTTTATTATTCTATTGTATTATTATATATCTTTTTATAACCTATTATATTGTAATTTTTAAATATTATTTTATGGTAAAGAATTATTATTGTGATTGCTAAAATAATTTTTGAGTTGTTGACTTAGATTTTGTTCGTCAATATTGTACTATAGGTATTAGTTTTTTAGTCTTTTATTATTCTAAAAATGTACATAATATTAATTTAAATTAATAAAGTACATAAAAGTAATTAAATTAATTAAAAATTAAAAATTTATATTTTTAGATGAGGTGTTATGTGAAAAAAATATATGTGAGAAGTGTTAATGAACGAAAACTTATTTTATATACTTGTTAATTGATTTTAAAGTTACTATTAATAATTTTAGATTTTTAAATTGTCAAGTTTAGACTTTAAGTTTTAAATTTTATTGCATTATTGATTTGACAAATGTACTAAAAACACAATTGCACAAAATTAAAGTGGAGCAAATCAACAAAGCCATAAAATAACATATTGACTGTTGTTTTTTGCTGGTGATGCGTAGTGGAAATTGAGAACAAGTAAAAGTTTGTTTTCTATCTGCGCCCCTAATTACAAATCCTAGCTATACCACTGGAATAGACCCGTACGTGAGATTAACAGTCCATTCACTTACCTTCGGCTTTAACCAATCTAATTACATTCAACTTCAAAAATACACTTCTAATCCAAATTCAGTTTTATATATTCTGCAAAAGGAAAATTATTGATAGACATTTAGTTAAATATACTTTTTGATACTTTTTTTAATTTAACTATTAAAATATAATATAAATATAGTTGATTCAGTCGATTTAGTCGATTCAGTCAATTTTTGCATTTAATATACATAACTGCATTTTTAAGTTTATTTGTCTTTAATTTTATATTATAACATAATAATTTTTTAATGAATGTATTGTGTAATGTACGGAATTAAAATGTGTACCAATTTCTATCCTTCCACAAATTCAATCATAATTCAAATTCAATTTTATTTCAGTAATCATATGATAATCAAACTTCAATTACATTTCAATTTTATATTCCACTTCAATTAGGAATCAAAACGGATGTGATTTCATAAATCTAATTATTTATATGTTGTAAAAACTGACAATGATTAGTATATCATTCGGTTTAACATACTTCATAGCATATTAAAAATATTATTTTCAAATTTAAATTCAAAGAATAAAAAATTTAATTTACAAAATTTAATAATTAAATCAGTAGATATTAACAAGTATGTTGAAGCGAACAGTATATCAATTATTCGTCTATAAAAATTGCTAAAATTTTCAAGAAATTTTAAATAAATCAAATGGGTTTTCAAAATCTTTAATTAATTCTCTTAAAATACCCATAAATAGAGTCTCAAATAAATTCACAATGGATTTTTTGTGGTATATAATTCCTTTTGAAAATAATTATCGTTGCAAATCATGCTATATAAACTAATTAAAATGCTTATTTTACAAACTCTATTAGTTTAAACCATTAACATTACATCAATTACTTAAATTATTCAATGATAATTTTTTAATGGTAAAAATAAAAAAATCTTGAATTTGACTTGCATAGCATATGAATGGGTGAATTAAGAAATGGATGACAATTGCTTATCATTGTAAAATCTAAAATAAAAGAGAAAACAAAAAAAACAAAATAAAACTCCTAAAAAATTAAGACACCGTTTAAAAACAAGAAAAAAAAATGAAAAACAAATAAACAAACAAACAACCATCCCCGTCCTTTTCACCCAGCCTAAACGGCTACTATATATATATAGGTAAGTGGTTACCTACTCTACTTCTAATAAATCAAGAAAAAAAATTAAAAAAAAAT